TCACTGCATGTGCAAGGAGTTGGTGCAGGCTCCCACAGACCAAACCAGGGGCTGGTTTGGTTTAGCCTTGCTCTCCAGAACTCTTGCCGCCACGAGGCCGAGCATCCTTCCCAAACCCAAGCCTGGCATCCCAAAGGGAATGGGGTCTTCCCACAAAGGGCTGCAGAGCAGGCGGGCTGGCCACGCCACAGCTCTGCCCGACGGCCAGGCAAGGAGCTTCCTGCAGGGACAGGTGATAATTAGGCATGGGGAGAAGTCCTGACAATGGGGTGCAGGGAGGGATCCCTTCCACGCCCTGGCTCCTTGAGGAATTCCTGTCCTTAAATGGAAAGGAGGGAAGCATCCTGCAGGACAACTTCTACCAGGCTGGGCTCAACGGCTTGCCCAGGAGCGTGGGAGGACCGGATGGAGAGGAGCAAGGAGGGAGGAAAGCTATTTGAGGCTGGAAGGCAGGGCATTGCGAAGGGAAGGAAGGCAATATGCTGATAATTAGCACTCAGATTTCATTATTGTGGAGCAATACTCTTGATTTTATTTTTTTAATTTATTTTTTTAAGTGTGAAGCAGAGGATGAGGGCAATATGGAGGGAACCAGCAGATCATCTACTTTGATGTAGGCAACGTAACGTGTTCTTGATGGAAGATAAGGCGGGAATGGATGTTCCCGCAAAGTTCTCTGCTACAAGTCCCTGCACCGTTTGGGCACAGCAAAAACTGAAGCATGTGCTCTGGCAGGAGCACACCTGAGCCCTCCCTTCCCACCCCCAGATATGGCAGGTCCTTGCCCCATCCCACCCCAGCAGTGGGATGGGGGGACAGGGCCATAGGGACACCTCCCCCCAGCCAGCTGCACCAGCCGAGGCTGCAGGCACCACGGGAGGAAGATCAAACACACAAGACCAACCTGCTCCGTGGCTCTGGTACAAGTCTTAGCAAGAAGGCAGGGAGCAGAAGGCAGCCCCCGAGCAGCCCCAGCCCCAGGCAGATCTGCATGCCGACCCACCAGGCTGGGAGGAGCCTGAGCCCACCCACACCCCAGTGCCCTTGGCAAAGGCTGCGGAGATGAAGAGATCCGTGCCAGCTCTAACAGCAGGAGGGACAGCCCGGATGGACGGACAGACAGACATCAGCTGCATCTCTCCATCAGCTCAGAGGGCGCAGCCCTGGCACCCACCCAGCCTAGCCCCATGAGTGGAGGCAAGGGACAGGGACATGGCTATGGTCCCTGTCACCAGCCACTGTCACCCACGCTGCTCCAGAAGTGACAGTCAGGTTGTCTACCCCACCCTCCCTGCCTGGCTGTGGCTCTGCCTCCATCACACCAGCTCCAGCAGTACCTGGAGAAGCACCAAGGAGGATGATCCCAAACCCAGCACCAGTAGCACCGTGGCTGAGCTTGCAGGGAGCAACTGGGCTTTGTGGGAGTCCTGATTTCTAAAGGAAGGTGCTGCAGCAGCCTGAGGGAACGCTGCTGGAGCCTGGCTCCATCCCTGGTGCTGCCAGCAGGTGAGCCACACTTCACCCAGATGTCACCAAGGAGGTCAGGCAGCCCTTGGCCATTCCAGTGCTTCCAAAGCCTGGGGAGCAGTGGAGGTTTCCCCCATCCGCAGCCAGGGCCCTGGTGCAATCCCAGGAGCAAAGCAGCAGGAGATGGGGAGCAGCCCCTGCCCCTCCCTCCCCTTGCTCACCCTCCCTGGCCGCAGACACACAGCACAAGTGAACACTTGCACACTCGCTTAAGGGTTCCCACCCTGAGAGGCAGCTGGATCCCACACTCGTTTCTCCACGGCTGGGCTGAGTCAGAGCCTTTCTGGCACAAGACTCCCAAGTGACTCAAATTCCCTTCTCCAGCCCCTGCCAGCTCTCTCTATTGCCCCAAAGATGCCAAAGAGGAAGCCACAAACAAGGAAAGCAGATGTCTCACAACGCCGGAGCTGGGGAAGGCTCCTATCCAGCCCCCATCTCCACACCAGGAGGATCTATCACACCTGCTTGGCTAACGCTTGCAAACCAAGTGATCCACACGACAGCAGCCGGCACCGACAGCACAGTCTGGGATCAGGTTGAGCTGATTTTTAAGCAGGGGAGAGACCATAAAGCAATAAAGAGAGCTGAGAACATCCCAGCACCACATCCTGCTGGCACTTCTTCATCTCAGAACATCCAGAAAGGAGGTCTGTGTTTGGTTTATTTGTTATGAGTCATATTTCTTCCATGAACGCTCCAGTCTCAGCTTCAGAAGCACACAGCTTCTGCTTGGGAATTAGCCCAGGAACATTTTCCACATCTCCTGCACCAACATCGAGCAAGACTGAGCCACCAGCCAAAGCAGGTGGCACTTGATGGCACACAGAGGCAGCTCTGCACAGGGCTTTCAGGCTGCTCCCTCCAACGCAGCTGCATTCCTGCCCACACACACACCTTTTACCCTTTGTCCTCCAATTTCCCTGATTTTTTTCTCCTTCATTCCCCCCTTACTGTCCTCCCTCTCTTCCCTAAAAGCAAGGCCGTTTCCCAGCCAAGAGGTGATGAGAAACCCCTGAAGTGTAACACCTCTCTCATTGCTCTTGGAGCTCTTAACTGCACACTGACATTTTTTCCCCAAAAACATGTCGTTTTGTCACAAGCAACAGCTTGTGACGGCCGTCCTAGGGAAGATTGGCAACAGTTCCCATCACACGAGAGGCCACTTCTCCAGGAAATTCTCATTTAAAACACAGAAGGTGAAAAGAAACATTTGTCATGAGAACAGCAGAGAAAAAAGGGGCCAGAAATTGTCACAAGTCACCCGTACGCAGGATTACAGCAAGTTCTGGGGATGAGAAATTTGCCTTCAGAACTGTGTTGAAGGCAAAAAAAGAATTACACTCTTGACTTGTCTTTACAAGGACACGTCTTCAAATTTATCTTAACTGGGAAGAATGAACAGATCTTCTTTTAAATTAACAGGGAAATTCACTGTGCCCTCCGAGAACAAGCTGTAATTGCGGGGTGGATCTGCTGTCTTCCCCACAGATCACAGTCTGGTTTCCCTGTTTTAAGGTGAGGAGGTGAAAAAAAAGAAAAACCCAAATTCAATTCAACCTTAACCCTGAAATTAAGATCAACAGCAGCACAATAACATGCTCTGGGACACAGCCCTGGACCCACGCTCCACCAGACAACACAGATTTGAGTCCAGCAGAGCAGGAGGGAGGATGGCTGCTGCTCCAAGCTGGAACCTCCTGAAATCCTAGTTACGGACCCTGCTCCTGGAACGTGAGCAGACCCCTGCCTACAATCTGCCCCGGCTCAGCACACCCCTTGCAAAGGGATGGAGATGGACCCACCAGCAGTGACCAGTGCCCTCTGGGCTAATCCTGCATAGCAGGTGCTGGAGGCACACCATGAAAGCCCATGAGCAGGCACTCAGCACCCCAACCCAGCACCCAGTTGGGTCCATCCCCCTCCCACACCTTCCCCTCCCTTCTCCCAGCACCTGGGAGGAAGATGGCAGCTCCAGCTTTTATTCATTCAGCACTGGTACTACCACCAGGTAGCCGCTCACAGATTAACATCTCAGCATCCTTTCTCCTGGAGTCAAAGGTGGTGGGAAAGATTTAAGTCCAGTCATCAAAGCTTAAAGGAACAATTTTTTTTACCCTTGCTGCAAACTGCACCCAGGTTATCGGCAGCTTCATCACTTAAAAGTCCCTGAAGGTGACTTTTGGGTGGCACCTGCAGCTGCCCACCCGCAGAGCCGTGCTGGCCACCAAGGAGCATCCCGGCCAGACATCCCTGGCCCTGTAGCCCCCAGCTTCTGGCCCCCAGCTCCCAGCCCTGCAGGTTCCTCGGGAGCGATCAGGTGGCAGCATCCAATTTCCTCATTGTTTTGGGAGGTGTTTTCTGATGGGAAAGGTGAAAAGGGTATTTGTGAGCCTTGTAAAATGATTCCTCCGAGTTGGGTAAACAAGGGGAGCTCTGTTGGCAGCGGGATGCCGGGATGCTGGAGCAGAGAGATGGGATTAAAGAGCAGCCTCTCCCCTGC